TTCCCTCTTGACAGATGGGACTCATTTATGTTCTACATGATTGTACCCCAGAATTTCAGACTTGAGATGTTTGCCATAAATATAGTTAATCTCTTATTTTATGAGGTGTTGCTCAATCTCCACCTCCTGAATTTGGATAGATGTATGCCAAATTTATGATGGTGCTTGTCTATAAATGACAGACGTTGCTGGAGCAGAAAACTATCATTTCTTCTACTCAACAGTACAGGGTCCTGGTGCCATCGAAAGAAAGGGGGTAGGGGAGCGAGGCCTTTCTGCAGACCTGGCTGGCTCACAGGCGGTGGAAATGACAAGTTGTCATTTGGAAAGCGTGGCCCCATTTGTAACAGCATGTGAAAACCATAAAACACGCGGGGCAACCCATAAAGCGGACGGGATAGCAGGCTCCATTTTTATTCTTGGCGGAAATAACCCTTGGACGAAAAATGAAAATATGCTTATTTAAGGCAACAGGGTGACCAGAAAAATTTGCAAGGCCATCTCCCCAGGTAAATCAGCCTCATCTCCTGGTGGGATCGCCTCCATGCAGAAGGATGACGTGTGGAGACACATTCCTTCGGTTATGGGTAGGGGGTGAAAGAAACCATGCCCCACAGTTTTCAAAATTGTGACTTTGAGATGGAAGGATTCAAAATGAGATGGGAACTGTAGACAATGTTGAAAATAACCCATCCCTGTCCCTTTAAGAGGCAGTGGGAGCCAGCCTTCTGCCATCCTGGCCCTGTGTGTCCTTTCTCAGCACCAACCGCAATCGCAGTGAGTAGATTTGGCTTTAAATGCATGAAGCCCATTAATTGTCAAGCTGGAGCTTTGAGAACATTTGTCATTTGCGATTTAGTTGAAATGAGTGTTTTTATTCAGGCTTGTCCTTGAAAAGATCTGTTGGTGCTTAAAGCTTCATTCAATCACAACATAAATGCCACATACAATATACTGCACGGGAAATAAGGATTACTAATTAAAAACCAAACAAAACCCAAACAGCTCATCATTTCACAACCATAATTTCTACCAAAAAGGTATTCATGCTCAGCAGGGTTTTTTAAAGGGAATGCATGGCCCTCCATACTAATTCTACAATAATCTTTTGCATTTGCTCCTCTAAGGCAGAGACAACGAGAATCAGGGGTGGGATACAGAAGAGGACACCCAGAGGAAGTCCCTATTGTGCTCCGTGAGATTTGGGTGCTGCCTCACGCAGGCCACGCAGCCAGATCTACAACCCGGGCGGGCTCGTCATACATGCTGTCCATTGAGGAACTGCTCAAAGGTGGCAGCTGTGTATTGTTACTGGTCCTTGTAACCCTAACACCCAACCTGGTAAAACACACCAGGAGGTGAAAGCTCTTTGTGGGCAGAACCCTCCCCACCCCGTCCCCACCCCAACTTTCTGTTTATTGGTGCACTCTGGTATCTAGCAAATAAGAGTATCTCGTATAGTCTTTGACTACAGATAACATAGATTTGTTGAGTGGATATCAACTTTGCTGCACCAATTAATAAAAGGTGGATATTAATGTCTGCCCTATCAGACAGGGTTATTGTAAGGGTCTTATAAAAACAACTATGTAGCACGAGAAATGAAACAAGAAATGGAAAGGAAAGAAAATGAAAGACAGGAAGAGAAGAAAAATATACTTAAAATAAAATGGAATTTATCCATGACAAAACAAATATGCGACTCAATTTTGTAAATGAATCCTATTGTTACATTTACGCAGACTCTTAATCATCTTGGCCCTTACTTGCACTTATAATGTATGGGTAGCATCGTGAAATCAGTCCATCTGCTTTTTATTGGCTTAGACTGCAACTAGTTAGGAACTGTTTAGCTCTAATTAGCTTTACGTGTGAGTATTCAGATATAAATGTTCTCCATCTTGATATCTGAGTAAATTTTAACAAATCATTACTAACACCTGGACATATGGTTAATTATCAAAATATTTTTCTTATTTTCATGAAAATAAGGCTTTTTGAAGACTCCTCATTTTTTAACCTGGTTGGTTCAAACTGTCGACCTTTGGGTTAGCAGCTGAGTGTTTTAGCCACTGCATGTTATTTATTGTTAAAAGCTGTCAGAATAGAGCCTTCAGTTTGATGTATGGGACGTATTTTCACAAGGAAGAGTGCTGTCATATTGCAATATGACACTTGAACTCCAGGGGAAAATGCAGTAGCGTGCCTGGCCACTATGTTCTAGTCGTCTTCCTGAAGCTGCCTGATGCTTGCTGTGTTTTGACCCCAATTCTCCTAAAGCACATTTCTCCTCCCTCCCACCATGTTTTCAACTCTCTCTGCCACCTCATTACAGAGTTGGGACAGATGCTAAGGTGATATTCCTTTAGATTTTACATTTAATTCTAACCTAGCCTTCTGAAAAGTCAGCAGGGCCAACATTCTTACTCCAATGCCTTTAATTAAATGTATTTGTTTGTTTCCACGGGAGGAATCAGAGCTTCTTACAATAACTGAAATTCTTGCTATTGTAGTTTAAACTCCGTTTGCTTACTGACCTGAGAGGAAACAAATAAAGAACCTCAACACGATACCCTAGATGTGTATGTATGACTGGGTCTATTATAATAAGTCTCTTTGGTATTACACAGGCCAGGGTACATCACCCATCAAACGATAGCTGCAAAAGCAACACGAGAGGGAGAAATGGTTGTCCCAAGAGCCAACTTGATAAGTAAAGAAGGCTTCCCTCGCTCTTGGGAGGTGAGACTAATTATTAGAACAGTTTGCGCCCTCAAGAAGCGGAAAGAGGTCATCTGTGAGTCACATGCTCCTGGTCAGGTCCTCTGAAATCATGCTTCGCCCTGACTGATGTGCATCGAATCCCGGGATGCTGCTCCCGGAGGAACAACCTTCCTTAACACTTAATTATTAACTCCCTTCAACGAACGGGAATCTGTTGGTGAGTTACTGATGCTAAAACATGGGCGTGGAAGTCGAATGTGTCAATTCTGTGGATACTGTGAATGCCTGGATATTTTAAATCTGGCAGCTGAGCCGTGGATTAACAAGCATTTTAACTTTTCATTCAAATTCCTAATAATCACATGGATACGGGTTAAGCCCAGGGGACAAGCTGTCTCCACCCAGAAGAAAGACCATGCTAGAGAATTTCAGTCTCCTTAAGAATTGCCAATCAGCCAGGATTTTTTTACGGTGACCATTTACCCCAATTTTTGGCTGATTCCTTAGGTGCAATGTTATCTGAAAGAAAACATTTCTGTCACCTATGTTTCCCTGAAGTACCCTATTCATGTTCCCATGCTCATTCTCCTTCTCTCCTGCCTGCATCATGTCTGACGGGCCAGTTCTCATGTCTGTTATTCTTCTAAAACAGGCTTTAAGGTGAAATGAAGGGACTTAGCAACAAAGATCTCTGACTCTGACAAGACTGTGGGATCTTTTGAAGGGTTTAAAAATAGGTAGGAAGCACCAAAGGAGCCCTGGTGGTGTAATGGTTATGCCTTTGGCTGTGATCTGCAAAGTCAGTAGTTTGAAACCACTAGCAGCAACTCCGTGGGAGAAAGACTAGGCTTTTTTTCTCCAGAAAATAGTTACAGGCTATTTTCTGGGGGAGGTGGGGGAGTAGGGGTTGCTGTGAGTCAGCATCCACTCAATGGCAGTGAGTTTGGTTTCTGGTTTTGGGTAACACAAGGCTATGCATGACATTGGTTAGTCCAGATTTACCACCCGAACGAAGCTTCTAATTTTCCAACTTGAAAATTCTATCCATTGTACGGAAACTCGGAAACTCTTATTTCGCAGCTGTTATTCAGTAGACGTGATCAAAGAACACACATCTAGTTAGCAAATGCAAGCTACTTTCTTGTTAAAGAGTGCTATATTTCAATAACTTTGCCATGGCTTTTGCGATAAAGCAAATACAAATGCTTCCACAGTATTAATATTTATATAAACCATGGGAGATGCAAAGAAGTCATTTTAATGGCCCAAGAAAACAAGTTCCCAAATAATCTATTCATATCTTGTGTAAAACATAGGAGAGCTATGTGACTCGAAAATACATGTAATTTCTATTTTTTCCTGTCCTAGTTGGATAATAACAAGGTGCTTGAGGTTAATACTATGACCACAGCCACTTTGCGGGAACGAATAGGACTCAGAGAATGAAGAACTTAAGACCACTTCAGTCCTACTGGGAGTCTCTGATGATACCAATCCAAGGTTGGCAGTTTAAGCCTACCCCTCGCCACCTTGGAAGAAAGGGTTGTGCATCTCCTTCCTAAGAGCACAGCCATTGGAAACCCTGTGGAGTACAACACTGCTACACTTGTCTGCTTACTGAAAGATCAGTTTCTGGGAACCCACCAGCCACTCCGCAGGAGAAAGATGTGATCTGTTCTCACAATGATCACAGCTCCACAAACCGCCAGGGCAGCCCTTTACCATGGTCCTTCGAAATAAAAATCTTTTATTATAGGACACAGCCCCTCATTCATTTAGTAATGTCTTTCTCTCAAAAAACTCCTACCCTTCTGTCCTGCCCTCCCCCTACCCAGGGCAAGGAAATATAAAAATGCCTATCAGTACACAAACGTAGGAATTCCTTTACCGAGAAAGGATCCAGAAAAAAGCAAAAATGAAAGGGATAGGAATGAAATTTCATTCTGTGCTTTAGATCTTACATTTTCTGATCTTTAGATGCATATGACCAAGGAGCTTCTCATTCTATTTGCATATATACTTCTATACACCCATCTGTATTTGCACACACACACATACACTTAAATGCATATATTTAACAACACAGAATGGTAATAGATCAAATGCTTAGATTCTGTGCACACGCAACGCACTTCCTGTGAAGGAAACATATTAATATTACAAAAACAAATCATGGAGAGTACCATGCAACCCCTATGGGGGTGGGGTGGGGGCGGGGTCAGGGCAAGGGGACAGGAGGCACATCAAGAATGTAAAGAACAAAAAGTGTCATTGACCTGATTTGTCAGAGCTGGTGCCTGTGGTGGGAGTGATGGAGCAGCTGGGATTAGCCTTTGCGCTGTCCTTGGAAGAAACCATTTTGGGTTTATTTTTCGTTGCCTCTAGTGCTTTGACCTTCTTGGCATGTTTACTTCCTTTGTAGTGGGCCTCGGCCTGGCTCTACAAAGGAGAACAAATCAGGCTCATTTTTTGCTACTTACAAACATCACAATGGGTGATCATGCAGGAAAAAGAATACATTCAATCTTAGGCACCACAGACATTTGCAACTCAGCCCTCGACTCTGCATCGGCATTGCATCAAGCAGTAGAGGTTTTAGCATAGTGAAACCACCTGTAACACAGGGCACCCGCATCGCTGAAAACCATACATCACACAAGTGGACAACAGGACTTGGGCAAAATTGTCACAAAGGTGGGCTTTCACCTCAGTGCCTTCCCACCACTTAGTGTTACTTGGTAAACGTTCACCTTCAGGGACTCCAGACAGGCTGGCAGCAAGCTTCTTGAATGTCCTAGCAGAGCATAACTTTTTGTAAACATTCCTTTTTTTTTTTCTCTCTTTAGTCCAAACCTGTCTATCCCATCTCTACTTTCTTCTGGACTCTGCTCAGAGACCAAATGAACTGCTAAAGTCATGGTTGTGTGCCATCAAGTTGACTGCCAGCAACCCTTATGACAAAGAACGACTGGCCCAGGGGTTTCCCAGACTGAAATCTCTACAGAAGCAAATCACCAGGTTGTTTCTGCTGCGAGAGGCTAGGGAGGTTTCAACCATCAACGTTTCTGGTTAGCAGCTGAGCGCTTAACCCTTGCACACCAGGGCCCCTTTAGTAGATGCTACTGATTACAGGAGCCTTGGCAATGTAGAGGGTACATGTTGGGGTACTAACCAAAGGTCAGCAGTTTGCAAACACTACCACTCAGCGGGAGGAAGAGGAGGCTATCTACCATGGTCAGGAGTTCCAGTCTCGGAAGCCCAAGCGGCAGTTCTCCCCTGTCTTGTAGGGCCCACGTCAGAGTGGACTCAATGGCAGTGAGCGCAATGGGGGACATCGCACAGCATTTTCAGATAGCACATGCTCCTCCCAGGCCATTTGATCATCCTCGCTCCAAGAATAGGTATTACAACCTACAAAGGAGGCAGGGACAATCCTTGTTTGAGATCTTACATGTGGCTCTGGAGTCAGAGCCATTAATGTTCAATTCATGTACACATGGCATAACTGCAGTGAAAATGTGACTTCAAAACTATGTCACAAAGAAGAAAAATATGTAGAAAAGTGACTCAAAAACCTCTAAGAGACAAAAACAGATAACAGGCAACCAAGAAACATTTCAATGACTTATTGAACCCCGTGTTGACATATGGAAAGTCTCTCTTTGCCTTGAGCAAGGTTCCTATCTTTTTGATGCCTGGTGGTTAATGTACACATTAACAAATGAATCTAAGCACATTCACTTTATTTTAAATACGTCCTGAAAAAATAAGCACACATTCTTAATGAAATACATATGATATGGCACGTGTATTCGTTTAGCTATAATGGTGAAGGAGGCACTATACTTAGCATATAAATTGAGTTTTTAAGAAGAATTTCTAAAATAATACAATGAAATCTTTAAAAGTCAGAACCTTGTATGGTAGAAACCTGTTAGAGAAGTAAAACTTATTTTCTACTAATAAAGAAAGATTGAGCAGTGAGAACACTTTTGAGACCTGGAAAAACAAGCCCCTTTGGATACCACAGGTTTCACTCTAAAAACTATATATTTTTTAAACATTTTATTAGGGGCTCACACAACTGTTATTGCAATCCATACACACATCAATTGTGTAAAGCGCATTTGTACATCATTCTCAAAACATTTTCTCTCCACTTAAACCCCGAATACTAGGTCCTCATTTTCCCCTCCCTCCCCGCTCCCC